AACGTCTGGTTTTTTTTTATCTTCTTTGTTTTCACGTATCATTCTCCCTTTTGTACGATCGTACCATTCATCGAAACATTTCCACTTCCAGTTTTCGTCGACTGAGATAACATCAGAGTTATTTTGGACTTCTTCGACGGAGTTACTGTTTTGCATATTTACGAATAATCTTGAGAAGTATCAAAATTGATCTTTGACAAATGTAACTTAGATGCTGTTTACCGTTATTTATAACAATCATTCCATAGTTAACTGTGTATAGGAAGTCTCCCGATTGTACTATGAGTGTACTGAGATAGTTAATAATATCAAGTTCAAAAAAGTACGTATACACATTATTGAATTTGACATTTTAAGAAATGATTATACACCACGACCCATGATTTTCGTGATAACGATGGTGGGAAATTTCGGAGTTTCGAATTAGTTTATAAATCATATGGGTCAGGCGCTGAGAAAAGAGATGAATTTGACCAAAAAAAAAAGATCTTTGGAAAAATCAATTTTTATGTTATAAATTTTATAATAAATCATATGAAAATGCAACTTTTAAAGAATTACACTTCCAAATTTTATTATAGTGGTTTGCAAAAAGGTGTGGCCCCACGATTTTCGTGATAACGATAGTGGGGAATTTCGGAGATTCTATATTTTGTATCAATCATCTATTCGATCAGTGATATCTATATATATTTGGAAATATATATAATTCTCTTAGAATAGAAAAATCCTCCAATTTTTCGCGATTTTACATTACGCGATGATCTGCAGAGGTCACACCTTTTTGCAAACCACAATAATACAACTACTTTTGTGTTTTAAGTGAAAAATGATTTTAATCTTTTTCTAAGTTGATTTACGTACAAAGATTTTCTTTTGAAAAAATTGTCAATCTTGCCCCCCTTTTCCAGCACCTAACCTATATATTTTCAATCAGTATTGCGGTTTGCAAAAATGTGTGACTCCACGATTTTCATGATAACGATAGCGGGGAATTTGGGTGTTTCTATATTTTCTATTAAACGTATATTCGATTAATAATATCTATATATATTTGGAAATCTGTATAATTCCCTTGGAATCAAAAATCGTCCATTTTCACATTACACGATGATCTGCAGCGCAAACCGCAATAATGTAAAATCGCGTGAAATTAGACGATTTTTCGATTCTAAGGGAATTATACAGATTTCCAAATATATACAGATATCGTTGATCGTATATATGGTTGATAGAAAATCCGGAACCTCCGAAATTTTCGCTATCATTACCACGAAAATCATGGGTCAAGGTCACACCTTTTTGGAAACCGCTATATAATATCTATATTTACTTTGGAGTCTGTAAAATTATCTTAGAATCAAAAAATCGCCTAATTGATTTTACATGATATCATGATCTGCTATGTTTATTGCGGTTTGCAAAAAGGTGTGATCTCTGCAGATTATCGTGTAATGTAAAATTGCGGTAAATTATTGCGGTTTGAAACTAGTGCATGATCATGTGGCGGTTTCGCCGCCAACTAATAATTAGATATGGTGGTAAGTACATGAAATTGCTTCCAAAATGATTATAATACAGTCAACTCTGGATATACCGAACTGCAGATTCTGGAAGATTTTGTTCGGTATAGAGTAAGTTCGTTATATAGTTTACTCTCTCTATACCGAACAGTTCGGTATATAGAGCAAACCAATAAAATCACGCACACGTGATTAAGTTCATGGACTCAGATCAGAATTTTTAGGAATTCGCTCATTTTCCTTTCGGAATATTCCGGAGCTATAATCAACCGGATATAATAAGTTCATTATATCGAAATATTTATACATAGTCCGACATAGTCCTGGGCTGGTAAAAAGGAGTTTCGGTAAAACCAGTCTAAATGATTGTAAAAAATTGGTTCTGCCAGATCCGGTTTCATTATAGCACAATTTCGGTATAAGCAGATTCGGTATAGCAAGTGTCGACTGTATATGAATAGATCTGAATTAATTTTTAATTTGATTTTATTAATATGATTTTTATTTTCATACATTATCGCAAATTTATTTGTTATCATTAATTTACTGATATTATCGAAAACATTCCATTAGTCAATGTACTATGTCTGACCGGAAGATCGGCGGTAAAATATCTTCAACATCTGAGGGAATTGATCCAAAGACTCGAAAAAAGATATTTGATATAAATGTTCAAATGATTTCTCATGATAGCCATTCATTTAAGCGTTGCATTATAAGACGCAGAATAGAAGATTTCGATGGGGAAGTGGACTTCTCATATTTACCCGTTGTCCTACGCGAGTATGATGATAATGATAATCAAATGCTAAAGGATGAAATATCTAGACAAGGACAAATGTTTATGGAAATTTCCAGAAAACAAAATTGCTTTATGAATTATAATGGTTCGTTATTGCGCTGGAAGGAAGTAGATCATTGCTGGCAAGTAGAAAAGACAATGGCCAATGGTCGTGTCATTATTGATCTCAAAAGCTTTGCAACTATGAATCCAGGCTATAGAATGGGAAATGCCAAACCACCCAATAAGTGTGGCGTTGAACTTCTTACCAGGAAAGGTGATTATATCATGTTAGATCAAATAAATGAAGAAGAGTTCTATCTTCTTACACCTGCGGTAATATACGGGTTTAGCTTCGCGTTGAAAGAGTGGGGTCAGTTTGAAGTTTTGGGTCTTTCAAAAATTAATTTTAATGAAAATGCTTTTGATCAATTGGAGTTGTCCAAAGATAAAAAAGATATAATTAGAGGGTTGGTAATGCAGTATAGTGAATATGGTCAGATGAGAATAAAACCGCTTGATCCAATCTCCAATAAGGGTAAAGGCTGTATTTTTTTATGCTATGGACCACCTGGTACTGGGAAAACATTGACTGCTGAAAGCGTTGCCGAATTTCTCAAAAGGCCATTATGGACTCTTAGTGTAAACGAGCTTGGAACAAATCCTGTAGAGTAAGTAACAAAATAAGTTGTAAATTGTTACATTCTTATGCCATTATTTTATGATTATTTTTATCGTCTTTCTGTATATAGCCTAGAAAATAAATTGCGTAGCGTTTTAGAAGTCGCCATTAAGTGGAATGCTATTATTCTTCTCGATGAAGCTGACATTTACCTCGAAAAACGTGATATTGCCGACCTAAAACGTAACACGTTAGTTGGCATATTTTTGCGGCTATTAGAATATTATCAAGGTAGGAAATTTTTTCCGTATCACTCGTTATTATTTAAATACAATGATTTTGAATCAAATGCTTGATTTATAACGTTGTCCATGTTTTTATGCTTTTTCAGGTGTCCTCTTCTTGACAACAAATCGTGGCATGAATTTGGATGATGCAATATATTCGCGAATTAACATGACTATCCATTACCCTAAACTTGGTTTTAAGGAAAGACATAAAATCTGGACAAATTTCCTTAAGAATGCTGATCTATCCTTTGAAGCTGATGATTTTAGTAAATATGAATTGAACGGTCGTGATATTCGTAATATCCTTCACACAGCGCGAACGTTGGCTCAGAGTAAAGAAGAATCTCTAACTCCAAACCATGTGATCAATGTAATTGAAACCATTCAGAAATCTCGGAATGAGATGCAAGAAATGAAAAAGACAATTACAGCGAACGAAACAGAGGGTTATGAAAATTAAATTTACCCTCCAGAACCGCCACAAGACTAACAGAAATTTCAAATTTTCAAAAATTTGTAAACTTTAGAAACCAACAAATTGCCTTGTTAAGTATGAAACTATTAATAAAAAATGTGATTTGATGTAATTGAACTTGTAATTTGAATTTGAATAATGATAGCAATTTAGCTTTTAAAATTAAATAATTAAATAAAATTCAAGTTAGGCCAAACAAAGCGATTGGAGAATTTTTAAGTATAGTTCGTGAACTATAAATAAGTTTATTGCTAATCTAAAGCAAGTAATTTTATTTTAGTGTGTCATATCTGTGCCTTTTAATATAGCTAGCGTTAGAGATGGGCACGCGCGGTATTTTTAAACTGTCCTAGCGTTACCTAACAAATTTAGCGATCATCCAACATTCTTAAAATTTTCTAAACTTCTAGCGAAGGTTTCTCAATAACTACTTTACCAAATTCGGTAAAAAAAACGTTATTTTAATCCTGTACTTTTGCAGAATCAAAATAAAAAAATTTATTGAATTTGATTTAGTGGTTATCGAGATATCTTTGCTAGAAGTTTAAAAAAAATTAGAATATCTTAAAAAAAGAACTAAATTTTCTTTTTCTAAATTCACGCAAAGATTTCTCAACAACCATCTATCCAAATTTAATAAAATTTTTTTAATTTACTTCTAAGAATTTAAAGAATTAAAATAAAAAAAATTTATTGAATTTGTATAGGTTGTTGTTGAGAAACATTTATTAAAAGTTAAAAAAAATTTAGCTGTAGTTTCTTTTTTATAGATATCTAAAATTTGAACAAAGATTACTTAGCCAGCTGTGACAATTATTTATTTTAACAAATCTTAATAAGCTTTTTTATATAGCACAGTTTCATCAGTCACAAACTTGTATTTCTTAAAATAAATTTTGCAAAAATATTAAAAACAAAAGAAAAAGCTTAAGGGTAAAAATGACACAGTTTTTAAAATATAGAGGCAGTATAATGGAAGTTCATTTTTATTGGTTATTGCCTCTGATCATCAGATTGAATATGATTGGTTAATATATCATATATTACAATGTCATTATACAATATATATATAAAAGTCAGTAAAGTTGGTAATGTGATAACACCTTAAGTTATTCATATAACTAAAGTTGATTTTTTATTAGTATGTTTTTCATATCTAACCATTTTTTATAAGTATTTTAAGGTAGTTCACTTATATATAAGAAGTAATGAAAGTATGAATAAATTCACCTTAGTTTGAGTTTGTAACAGAGAATTCTTTTAATTATTAGCATATTAGTGATAATTTTTTTTCAGTAAAATGTTTTTCAAATTCTAATATACTTTTTAAAAAATTTAGATCAAGTTTGATTAAGTATTTTAAAAAGAGTTACTTATATGCAAAAAGTATTAGATAGTAGTTTGTATTATTAAAAAATCTTTTCAGTAATATACTTTTCAAGCTATAATGATCTTACTAAAATTTTAAATCAAGCAGATTAAGTGTTTAAGATTGTTGATTACAAGTATCATGTTAGACATTTTTAAATTTAATAGCTTAGAGTAAAAATAATACTTAGCCAGTCGGTTATTGACAAATTGTATTTTTGAATATTTTTAATTTGTTACTATTTATTTATATTTTTAATATATTTTATTTTATTTTATTTTTTTTTGGTTTTAAGGTGAGGCCTTGCTCATATCTTTATTAGTAATAATTTTTTAATAGTAACAAAATAAAT